TTTTTTTTAAATTTCTGTCGGTTAGTTCAAACCCCATTGTATCCAGATAAGTTTTTCATGCATACTATATCAATTTGGCAATATTTTTTTTATAAGAAAGAGTGGCTATTTAATTTCTTTTTGCTTATATTCAGAACTAACAGTTTTAAAGTAAGCGATCTTGTTCGGAAAAATCAAGTGTATAAGACATTTATACTTTATTTACGATTACTATAGTCTCCTCCTCAGTATTAGTTTCGGTCCCAGATCCTCACGGGCCCATTGTAACGCCCATACAGATCGTTCGTTCATACTTTATATATTACTTGTAAAATTCATTTTCTAAACGGTGAAATAATCTTGAAAGAATCCATTGGATTCATGATTTTATTGTTTTCAATTGATTTTTCACGAAACAATTTTAGTGCAAACAACATGTCTATATTTCCCCACGGAATTCCTTGTCTTTAATATGCAATATCTCACAAGTCAGTATCTGTTCAACYACGTCAAAGACGGCAGCTCGACTCGCGATGAAAAAACTGAGGAAAAGAATGATATCTTCTTTCAAAAGTTGTACCGGGAATACACAACGCAACACCAAATGGGATGTATAAGTCTTTAGAGATTTGCAGGAAATGCGAAAAAGGAAACGAGCATAGTTTGAACCGATAACTTGCCCTTAATTTCTGGCTTTGTGCGTAAAGTGGCGAAGTAAAATGGTCAACGATATCCTCCAAAAAGCCTGTATTTTATAATGTGTGCTATCAATCGGCACTTAAGCGATGTAAAGGGAGCATTGAATATTTTTGACAAAGCTAATTAAAGGTAAGTTAGAGTTATGCCGTTCGCTGTTAACATTTACACGTAAATATTCTAGTACGTAGATTTAATCAAGAGAGCATAAATAAGAAAGGAAAACTTACTAGAGTGCAAACAATATAACCGTGAAACTTTAGTAATACTAAATAGCACAATTTCATGCAAATTTCATTATTTTCTATTGTTTAATTAGCACTATTTTGTACTATTTAGTAATTAGTGTTGCACTCTACTCCCGTGCGTCAACTAGCACACGCGCGCGCTCTTTCCGTTTGTTGTTTCGATCACAAAAACGAGATCAAAATAACAAACGGGGGTGGGGTAAGGCGAAATTTAAATTGCATCCGTTCCTAAAAATGCCTCTGTAAATGTATTAAAATAAAATTGAAAACTAGTATACTCGACGTTTCGACGCCCTCCGGCGTCATTTTCAAGAGTGAAAGTAAAGCAAAGTAATAATTTGAATATATAAAGTTTTCTAAATCCTCATGGGAGTATTCAAATTATTACTTTGTTTTTTAATTTCACTCTTGAAAATGACGCCAGAGGGCGTCGAAACGTTGAGTATACTAGTCTTCAATTTTATTTTAAAAACTTCAAGAAACAAACGCCTCTATAATTGCCGAGAAAAAGAGCGCTGTAGTATTTCTGCAGCGCAAATTTTAATTTCGATTTTAAAATATTAAGAATTCAGTTAAGTTAATGTGGGTTTTCAGACTGAAACAAATCCAAGATGGCTGCCCTCAAGGGTTCGCTTTAAATTTCTAGGCGGTGTAAGTTTGTAAATGAGAACGTTTCCTTTCTCACCTATGCAGGGGCCTAGATAAAAGACCTTCAATCGCTAGTTTTATGTTTTCGGCTATAGATGGTGCTCTGTTGATCAAATGATGGATAACATAATATTGAACGATAATATTGGTTGACAATAATATACCTTTCTACTGCAGGGTATAGTGTGTATCCGGCGTCTCTTATAAATTTCTATCTACTTCATTACGCCTGTTTTAGCTGATTAACGACATATAAAATTAAACTACTTATTTCCTCAGGTACTTTTTTATTCCATTTTTGAAAAAAAAGTTATTGTAAATTATCATCACAAAAACGTTTTGAATATTCAGCAACATGAAACAACCTCTGGGCTGATCTAAGTCAGGGCACGGTTAACTCACAAATCAAACCCTGAAACAACCTCTGGGCTGATCTAAGTCAGGGGACGACTAACTCACAGATCAAACCCTGAAACAACCTCTGGGCTGATCTAAGTGTCAGGGCACGGCTAACTCACAGTTCGAGCCCTGCAATAACCTCTGGACTGATCTATAAGTCAGGGCACGGCTAACTCACAGATCGAGCCTTGAAATAACCTCTGAGATGACAAAAGTTATGCACCAGGGCGCAACGACCGTAACTCACAGATTGAACTAGGAATTTAGCTTGTTAGGCTTTGAGGAGGGAGGAAAATCGGGGTTGGAGAAAAACCCGTGAATCAAGGGAGAGACCTAAAACAACTCTACACCGCATGCTATGTCAATTACAGAACTATTAAACCCTAGAGGCGAATGTATATTCTTAGTATAAAATGCTTTGAAGTTAATTTTCAGTTTTTTATCATGACAAGTTATTCAGTGTTCTCTTCTCTTCCCTTCTCTTCTCTTCTCTTCTCTTCTCTTCCCTTCCCTTCCCTTCTTTTCTTTTCTCGTCTCCATTCCCTTTCGTGGTTCAGCTTTTATGGAGAAGTTAATGACGCAGAGATCAGATAGGAGAAATGCATCAGCAACGTACACAATGACAAAAAACAGATATAAACGGATAAGGAAAAGGTCGGAGAAGCAAGAAAGAAAGAAAGAAGAAAAGGAAATGAAATTCTTTCAGGAATTTCTACGCGTGCTTGCGGCTCACTTTGACCAAATTTTACTCCATTAACTATTCTAAAACTATGTCGTAAAAGCATCACAATTAGTTGTGTTTTGCACATGTGCACAACGTTAAAAAAAACCATGATTCTATAATGTACTCCAAAATAACTTTAAAACAAGATTATACAACGTCTAGACAGCTACTTTTAAAAATGCCTCCATTTTCAGTTTTTTTTTCTAAAGAAATAATAACTTTTACCCAATTAATGACCAGGTTTATTCGATAATAAAGACCTGAAAGCAATCAAGACATCGGCTTTGAGTTCAAAAAAACAAATACCGTCAAGTTAAAAGCTGCCCCCCCAAGAAGAAGAAATAAAAGTGCTATCATTACCGGCACCAAATAGGCTACGCCAAGTACCAGTATTTTCATGTATATTGATCTGATATTGCCTTAAGGGAAAATTTCATGAGTTTTGAAACAAAACGTGGCTGAAGGATCGTTTTAATGACTTCCAGTGGAAATAGCAGGATGAAGCGATGAGTTGGTAGTACGTGGCAATCTATCGTAGATAATGCTATTCGCCTAGGGAGATCAGTCATGATTAAATCGCTACTTTATAAAAATGGGGCTCCACAAATTGTGATTACATGTTCTCATGTTAATCCCGCTATGAGTGTGTTCATTTTAGAGATCCCGGCAATAGATTAATACTTATATGAATATTATCCATATCAAACACAAGGTACATGGCTTACTACTCTGCCTATAGGGATAATAAAACACTTGATTGGTTGAGAGTAATTAAAATAAGGGTCTATTTACAAGCAAAACTATTCGTAAAACTCCTTTTAAATTTTATCGATTGGATCATATATGATATAAAAGGTCATTTTGTTATCGATATCCAACATCGGATACACTGAAAAAACCTCTGGACTGCCGGATCGAAGTCAGGGCACGGCTAGCTCACAGATAGACATGATTGAAAAATTAGCGCGTTGGATTTTGCGTAGTAAAGAAAGTTGGAGAAGCTGGAGAAAAACTGGCCTCGAATAAAGGGAGAAAACTAACAAATCACTTCTATTTATATGAGATCCTGTCAGTCTGGGAATCGACTTGAACTCTCCTATACGTATACTCATAATAATAGATAATATGGTAATGCGCTATTCGTACGATGTACCCTATTCAGTAGTAATGAGACAACTTGTTCCTGAAATACAACGCTATAGAAATAAATTTAGGAATTGACCAGATGTATAGACTGCTTTCGATATTATCCTTGATGAGGCACGAGTATAACACGAAAATATATTTTACAACTTGCATCAATAAAAAGTTTTTTTTTCCTGCAGGCTTGCATTCGATATAATCTTAAAGTGGCCTCTATAGAATAATTTAAAAAAAAAACACACACAAAGTTTTTTCAAAAATTTAAATCAAAAAATTTCCTTGATGAGGCAAGATTCTAACAGAAAAATACATTTTACAACTTGCATCAATAAAAAGTTTTTTTTTTCTTRTCAGCCTTGCATTCAATATAATCTCTAATAAGTGGCCTCTATAGAATAATTTAAAAAAAACACACACACACACAATGTTTTCAAAAATTTAAGTTAAAAATTTTTTGCGGAGCTATGTTGACAGAGGTTTACATGTTAAGGACGAAAGAGAAAAGGAGAAGAGAGAGATAAGAGAATAAGAGCACAAATTGAACGATTTCATTGTTGCAACCACATCCATAAGTCAAAGACCCACATAAGAAATTCAAATATTTGAGCGAACTCGAGTGCTAGCTTTCACGTCTTCTGTGTCAGAAAGAATAACAAGATATTCTTTCTCAGATTATATTATCTGTTAAATAACAGATGAGGTCAATTAAAAAGCATTTTTTATCTACTCTAACCCCTTTCACATTTAAGATGCTATCACGCAAGTGGAGTACTCTAACGCCAGGCAGACGTCCGGTGCTTCTAAGACCCGCCAATATCAAAAACAAACTTTTATCTTAAAGAAGCTAGCCTTTACAACTGACAAGGCTGGCTGACACGACTAGAGTGGATTACATTTAGTTCTAGTGGTTTTGAAAACCGATCGGTAATGCTTTAATCCGTCTCGAATAAATTCGAGGGTATGGCTTGGTTTTTGAAGTAGATAATAAATTTTGATTATTTTTCTTCGATTGAAGGTGCAAATAGATGGAAACTTTACTAGTAATATAATTTGTCTGTTCGACATTAGTTTTATAGCAGTGACGTCATCAACGAAAACAGGCCGCCATTTTTGAGAAGTTAAAATCATTCAAGCAAAAACATTGACAAAAACAATTCAAAATTTGTCAAGTTATATATACAACATTATGCTTTACTTTATTTTAATAAATGTTCTCCTTAGAATTTTTTTTTAAAGCGCGAATTAGTTATATCGGTTTCAATCACTTTATTTTGATAAGTCGTACCATTCTCAAGCCTATACCATCATACTTGCGTGTGAAAATGACGTCATCATTAAGACTTTTTCGCACAGCCCCTTTTTCCCCTAGCAACCTAATTTATGTGTTTAGAAATTTCAAATAAGTGTTAACGGAAGGGTGGAACTGTAGTGGTCAGACGATGCTATCGTGTTTGATATATATCTAGAATGGTAGGATATCACTCTTTCTCTAGCTAAACCAAAAGCGATATTAAATAACCAATTTTGTATGACCTTTTCTGTTTTATTTTTTCATTATTTCATGTATTGTGGCTTAGTTCGTTGTTTACTAGCCTAATATCAGCGCTAGAGACGGGAACTGAGAAACTACTTCGATGTATGTGGATCATATCGTAAATATCTATTGTAAAATTGTTGTAAATTTGATAGAAAAAATATTTTTAAAAAGTTTGATTGGGGAAACGCATTTAGGCGTCTTTATGATAATTGATAGAAAATATTCGACTTATCTTTTTTGGCCTTTATCAGGGTTTTAGGTTAGGGTAAAATAGAATGTCACGACAAGAACGACTATGAATAAGGTTTTATTTGCCAAGTTTGTTTACTTTGCTCTCTCCTATCGTGAGATCAAGAGTTGACGCAAATAAGGAATCGAAGGACATGGTGATTAAATTCTTATAAATATTGAATGGGAAAAGGATAGAATGGTAGAACAAAGTAGAGAAAGAAAAAAGAAGAAAGAAGGAAAGAACTACGGACAGACAGACAAAAAGAAGAAAAACTAAAGGGAAAAAAATGAAAGAAAGACGAGAGGAAAGAAAGACGAGAGAAAAGAAAGGGAAAAAAAAAGAGAAAGAGAAAAAGAGAAAGATGGGAGAATGAAAGGAAAAGTACTGAACAGGAGCAGCAACAGTGGCAACGACAGCAACAACAACAGCGGCAGAAGAAACGACAAAAACAACGGCGAAAAAGCTGCTTCACTTTAATAAAGGGCGATGACATCAGCTCTAGGATGACAGTGATAAAATATTTGTTCCAGATTATCGTATGTTAATATTATGATGCCTGACGAAATGGCTTGTAAACGTTATGGAAGGATGAACGGCTTCCTAAGAACTCGCTTCTTCAGGAAGAAAGCGGCAGTCGTTTTCATCATTTTCAGTTTATCTACTTAGCGACAAAAATTAATCCATAAAAAATTATTCTTAAGTCAGCATTATCCAGATACAACTTAGATATATTTTAATGATTTGATGGAAAACAAGATAACCTTGATTAATTCTGCATATTTTTACTATTTCGAGCTTCGGAACGTAAGTAGTTCGAGCTATGGCAGATAATGAGAATTCATAATTCAAAAATGGTTATTTCTTTGGCGCTGAGCTTCAGCGCCTAACACAGTAGCGTAGCGGCTTGAAATGAATCGTTTCAGTCATCTTCGAAGGAGACTGAGTATTGAGAATACTACTTAAGAGTTTTAAAATAAATATATGGGGCAACTCTTTGCACTRTTAATTTAACCGTTTCTAACATCTGCCAACATGATAATTTTAACTCAGTGTTGTTGGAAGTATAGAGGGAACTCGACTCTAAAAAAAATCAACAATTATTTGTAGTTTTAGCCTTTAGTTAATTTGTTTATACAAAATTTCTGACTCTAGCTTCACTTTTATAATTTGCCAATAACTCTAAATACGATTTTTCCTTCAATTTTTTGTGCTGAAACAAAATTGAAGTCCTTTTTCTTGACGCTGCTCAGAAGCAATCAGTCGCCAAAACTATGTACCGTCTGTAGTTTTAAATAATTTACAACAAACAGCTTCAGCAACATTTTGGTAAATTACTTAACATGGAGTCTGTATTTCTAGCAAAAGTATCGTCTCCATGGCTACAAGGAGGAGGCAAAGTCTTGAACATATTTGGCGGGCAACTTTTATTCTCAAACCCAGCACCTTAAAATAGTGTCCAAAATTACCAAAGCGTTAAAAAAATGATCGAATGAAAACATCTGATAAGTCTATCAGTAGGAAAATAGAACTTATTTTTGTTTTCTCGATAATTTGAGTGCTCAACTTAGTCACTGTGACATCTTCTTGAATTAGAAAGAAAATGTTATTAACTGCACATCTCAAGTAGACAGGGCAGATAAACGACAAGGCTGCTATTCCCGCAATTTTTTTCTTTATCTCTCCTTCACGTTAAGCGTTTCATTCGTGTCTCTTGTGCTTTAAACTTTTCACAAAATTCTGCTAACCTCGAGCAATTCTACTTCGAGGTATAAGCGAAAATGTTAGTTTTTGTGCTGATCAAAATATCATCTCTCCCAACGTTCAGTGCATTATATCTCAAATACGCATTCCTTAAATTTCCCCAAATTTTGGTATTTTGTTAATCAGCCCCAAAAGAGCCTGTTTATGAAATATAAAGCTTATTAACGCATAAACGTCGAACGTAGAATCCGTTTTCCTGCTCTGTCTGTCAAGTAAGCACTTGCAGCCAAATGTCTTCATTGGCATTAGCAATACGTTTTTGCTCTGTCTGATTTGAGAAGCAAAAACAAGATCCATGGCTTTTTGGTTTATATGATTACAATGTCCTGGTTATAGTGTACCTAATTCCTTACTTGTCTCACTAGATCACCCTCTGGAAAATTAATACCTATGTACTCAATTGTCTGTGCGAAATATTTTGATGAAGTTGTTCTGGTAAATTCTAAATTACTTGCTAAATTGAATTTATTTAAACCTTTAATTTAGAAAACAACGTAAAACAAATATTTCCCATATGGAAAAACTTTTGGAATATATGGCTTTCAAATTGCATAAAATTCAAAACAGATTTTGGGAATTTTGTAATTTTTGGGAATTTTGATCAAATCTAATTTTTGATTAGATTTAATCCAAAATTTTACCGTAATCATAACTGATCTCAGCCATACCTTAATTGTATCATAAATGAATTGATTGTAAAAGGGGAATAGAAATATGAGATTACAGAAGTCTTAATAAAGGGTTTTTAAAGCAAAATAGAAAGATAAAGAACTCGAACCATCTTGGGCTGAAATGTTTCAAATGGTTGAGACTGTGGCGTTTATTTTTGTTTTGTAATACATAAAAAAATTGTACAAAAAAAAAAATCCAAGGTCTTTAGGATGATTTTGAATAGAAGTAATGAGGTAAATAGAAAATAAACATAAAAGTATAGAAAGGTAACTCACCCAAGTGTGTCGAACAATCCGAAGTGTTTACAGCCGAACTGAGCTTGGATAGCCATAGCAAGACCAAAAGCACCTGAAAAAGATATTTATAGGTTAGATTATCTACATGCAGTAAACCGCGTTTTACAACATTGAAATTTAGAACCTATGGTTTGAATTTAAACTCCAACAAGGAATTTATTAGGTATGAGGTATACCTCGCGGATCTCCATTTTGCCATCCATTCAGCCAATGAAGCCGAAAAAACAGAACGTTATCTCGAAAAGTAACCCTCTTTAACCATGCAAAAACATTCCCTAGCTTCCTGCTTGTCGTAGCTTTATGAATACAAATCGATAGAAAGCGAGAAGAGCCAATAGAAACACCATAAAACGAAGCACAACTTATTCCATGTTTGAATTATTTAAGAGCTCTCGCCAGGTAGCTAATGACCTTGTGAATGGAAGATTTGGAATCCCAGCTTGGCTTTGAAAAAAAAAACGCTCCTGCTACAAAAATGCGCGCGCTTTTTATTTAGCAAACTTCCGGCTGTCATTCACATCCGCTAAGACATTTATATTACTTTTGCTTAACATTTGTTTGAAAATTGACTTCTGGTTCCGACGGAATTAAATTGGGCAATAAATGACAGACAAACTCACACTCAATTCCCTCAATATTGTTGCCCAGGGCTGATCTTTCTAAAATTATTTATTGAACAATTATCAAAAGTTATCTCGTAAGAATATTAAAACCTATAAATAGACTGATACGACATTAGTGTTGTTTCCTTGCGATTGGTCTTCAATTCGTTTTCAAGATTAAAATCGAGAAAAATACAAAAAAAAAAAAAAATTAAGTACTAGCTAGATGAGGAAAAGACTCTTGCATTGCACGCCGTAACCAAATATTTGAATAGCAGAATGTTCTTTCTATTCTATATGTTTGCCCGTCAAATACGAAGCAGGAAATGTTGAAAAGGGGCTTATACTGAAGTCATCATGTTTGCAAAGCTTAAAATAGCAGTTAAAATATTTTAAATTCAGTGTTAAACTCGAATAAGTCCATTCACTAAATTCATTAAAAGTTTTTTTAATGAAAAATTAATAAATAACCTTAATAATGAACAAAGCTTCAACAAGGTTCTTATACCCTGCAATAGAACAAAGCCGCAGGTTTTTGATCATTAGAATAAAACAATCAATCATACTTTTAGTCCTCTTAGTGCTCATTAGCAACAATGCTACGCATGCGCATTTGTGCTCAACTGAATTTTAACTTTGCCACATCAAGAAAAAATATTTTCAACCACTTTTTAAAATTAACCTAAACTTTCTAACTACACACAAAATTTGTGCAGGGACGATTGTTCAGATGTCTTTAGACTCAACATGTTTTTAAACTATCACTTTTATTAGCGGTTTTCCGACTTTACATGGATTTATTCCTGAAGCAACAGTGACAGCGAAAGAAAACATTTTAACAAAAACCCAAAATCCTGTTGAATATGCAGTACTTATGGAGATCGTTTCCCTTTTATTAGCTAACTTTGGACTTTATAAATTTAGTCCTAAAAAGAGACATTTCACAAAACCTAAAATCCTGTTAAATATTTATAATTAGCAGTTGTCTCAGTAGTCCTGCTGGAGTCGAAGTCTTTATCAAGATGCGAATAAGAGTTTAAAGCCAAATTTTATGATTGTATACTGTCGTCCGACATCAACAAAACACCATACATCACAAGTTTGAGTCGACAATTCAATTAACGAAAAAGAGTCAGTTCGATTGGTTGTCGATTATTTATTTAAAACTTGGTCTAAATTCTCACGAGATGTTATCAATTCATTTTTATTGTTCAGTTTGCCTGGAGCTAGAAACATATATGAGAGTAGCAAATAGTGAGATAATAAGTCTGAAAACTGAAAACTGATAAAAATTTTGTGCCTTCTCGAAACTACACCTGGGCTGGTCTCAGTATTGAGTAAGTGATGAACAGCCGTCAGAGAAAATAGATAAATAATGAAATGAAAAATAAAGATTATGTGTAAGTTGTCAAGATTGGATGTCAAAGCCATTGCATGGTGACTGGCATATTTCTAAGATCCAACCCACAAATGGACTAGAATATAAGCGTTAGATTTATCATCAGTTTATTCAACATCTATCGGTAATCCATTCAACTGACACTGTTCTCAGAAAGGTTCGCATGTGCAACTTTGTATAATCCTCTCTCAGTCATTCTTCAAGGTTGGTTCGTATTAAGGGCATTTTACAGGTTGGCTAAGACTTACAGGGATTAGGTATATAGGAAGACTAAATACTTATGTTTGTGTGTTACGAGTGTATGTCATCAAGTTACATATACCCTGACCAGCAACTATATGAGCCCAAGCGACGCAAAAAACAACGTAATCACTTTTTATCGTTTACCCTCTCTTTCCCATTTTGTTTGTTCGTCATTTATTTTGTCTCTCAGTAACGAGTTTATACTAAATAAAACTGGCTTTCAGCATATTTTCCAATTTATTCATTTCCTGTAATATTTGAATTAAAACAATGAGGATTTCAACTTTACTACAATATCAATTTGTTTTTAATATTTTTGTAATGAGAGTTTTTGTTTTACACTCAATTAAAATGGACTTCAGTGTTGTTTTTTCATTTAAACTTTTTCCTGTAACATTAAATTGAAACTTCACTGAGTTTGAATTTGTTAATAAATTATTTTTGCATAAACTACTTCTATTTGTGTGCTTGTCAGTAACTAGTTTACAACAAATTAAACTTTATTTAACTTTGTTTTCCTAATGTCCAATAAATCCTTCAAAAATTAAAATTTCAGTTTACAAAAGAAATCATGTTTTTGAATAGACTTCAAACACATCAACTTTTCATTAATTTGGCAAAGTTAGTAAAACTGTCATGGGTTTATAAATGAAACTTGAATCATTTTTAAATAGTCATTGTAATGCAAATAATTTTAATGAAAAAATAATTTGAACACTCTAGATTGGAAAATATGAACAGCAGTTTTCAGTTGATCTAAACTAGGAATTCAATATTAATTTTCAGGTTGCTCTACATTAATCCTAAAAAATGACATTTGGACATTTGATATTTCCAAAGCGCTTAATCTTTCTATATGTTCCTCTCTTTTGTCTTTAAAATCTACTTTGAATTTAATTTTCGTTTGATGACCTAAAGGAAAAGAAAAGTTTGTGACAGGTTCATGAAGATGTATTCAAATTATATTTTGATGGAAGCTCATCGTTGGTTTTTGTTGATTTATAATAATAATAATAATAATAATAATAATAATAATAATAATAATAATGATAATGATAATAATGATAATGATAATGATAATGATAATGA